AAAAGTAGATGTTAACTATTCTCATCAGTAAAAATGTGGTAAATGAAGCAGTACACACACACACATACACACACACACAAATGGCTGATTTAGCCACTCCACAATGTGCACATATAACAAAAGATCATGTTGTACACCATAAATAAATAGATTTTTTTGTCAATTTAAAAACCAAACATATAAAAAAATCAAATGGATCACTTAGTTTTTCAGTACATCCCGTGCTGCCGAGATAAGCAGGACCAAGTTAATGTTGTAGACAGAAAGAGGTCACGACCAAGAACATGAGAGGAGCAGAAAGAGCTACAGAAGTTTTCAACCAAAAGCAGCCACTGGGACGATGGAACTCACTGTGCCAATCCCCAGGCAGGTCCATGTCTCCACACCTTGTGACCAAGATAAGGCAAAATGAGTCTTCCTCAGCCAATACTGGGACATCGGCCTGCTGCCATCAAATCAGCTAAAGTTCTAATAACTGAAACTAGAAAGTATGGGAGTTTACCCAGCCTGCTCCGGGGCAGCCATTCCATTTGAATCTAAAAGTTCTGCTGAAAAGGTCAGATCTAATCAGCCTTTACCTAGAACCGCGTAAAATGGCTTATCTGCCCATTTCTGACATACAAAGCTGCAGAAGCCACATGGTCCAGCCTAACACTTTGCACAAGCCACTCACTGTCTATCCTCAGGGGACTCAAAAGAGAGCCCCATAAAGACCTGGTGGCAAACTGGGTGTGCGTGGTGCTGGGAGAAAGATGCAGCGAGGAGACGGGGTAGACCGGCAGTGCCCTGAACTGGGGCATTGCTCATCCGCTCGAGTCCAGATCTAAGGGGAAAGACAGCAAGCCCCTCTCCCTGACACCTCAGCATCTGCAGAGCAGCCACAAACCCAGAGCCTCTGAGCCAGTGCACAAGAGCAGGGTGAGGCCTGAACCTGCCAACCTTGACTGAGACTCTTCAGCATTTGTTATTTTTATGGGTCCTTGAATGCTTCCCTTGAATATTAATTTTCTTCAATTCTTTAAGTATATATTAGTTATTACATATTTTTGATTAATATTTGATGGCCGCTTAGGCTGCCAAGAGCGCCCATAAATTTCCCAAGTGGATCTCTGGCACTAGGTAAGTGTGGGAGACCCCTCGTGTGGAGCAAAGACATCAATCATTTTAAGTCTCTGACTCCACACCTTAATACCCAGAGATATATTGCTAAGAAGCCCATAACAAGTCATTAAAAATGAATGTCTTGTGGCAGTTTTCATGCCTGCAGAATTCCGTGGGGGAGGGGAGGGAAGCTGAAATGCCGCAGAACCCAGGGAGCTCAACTAATACCTTTTAAGACATTTTTTAAAAAATCCTTATTCTTCACTCCAGAAACAGCTCCAGGGTTTGGGGGTCCAGTGTAAAATGAAAATGCAAGACCCCTTGTTCAAAAATAATTGCCATTTTCAGACAGCATTCAGCCAAGCACAGCCTCCTTCTGGGCACAAGGCCCGGTGTGACTGCACAAGTCACACACCTATGAAGTCAGCCCTGCTCCTCTGGCCCCTCCTAGCACCCTCAGTGCCCTCTGTCCCACAGTCCTCATCTGTAGGTGCTGTCCATAAGAATACCCACCACAATAACACAGCATTATGGAGAGTCTACGGAGGGCACTCTATTTTCAAAAACTCTGAGATCAAAACAGGCTTTCATGGGGTGGGCATTATGGTGTAGCAGGTAAAGCCACAGCCTTGCAGTGCTGGCATCCCATATGGACACCAGTTCATGGGCCAGCTGCTCCACTTCCAATCCTGTTCCCTGCTAATGGCCTGGGATAGGCAGCGGAGGATGGCCCAATACAGGGCCCCTGCCGCCCATGTGGGAGAGTGGCCAGCAGATGGAAATTCTCTCTCTCTTTCTCTCTCTGTCTATTCCTCTCTCTAACTCTGTCAAATAAATAAGTAATATCTTTTAAAAAAAATGATGATGATGAAGCTTCCTCTCATGAACCCTGCAAGTACTATTATGACCCCCAGTCTACAGATGAGCACCTTGAAACTTAGGATGGTGATTTTTCCATGTCAGCTGGACTGGGCCAGGGGGAGCCCAGACATGTGACCAAACACTACTATGGGTGCATCTGTGAAGGTGCGATGAGATTAGCACTTGACCGGATACACGGGATAAAGCATTGTGCCCTCCCTAAAAGAGGTGGTCTCATCCCACCAGTGGAAGGCTGAGCCACATGTTTTAGCAGTGGCGAATGTCCTGCGTGGGCAGATCATGGTCAAAGGCAGCTTCAAGGAAACCCTACTCAGACACCAGAAGCCTCTGTCTGTTCCCACTTTTCTTAACCTACCAGCAAAGAATGATTGTAGAATGAGAGAGAGAGCAAGAAGAAAGGTAGCTAATACTTTTGGAGCCCCTAATTAATGCCAATCTCTGTAGATGGCATTTGATGTATATCATTTCCTTTAATCCTTGTGACAACTTGCAAAGTGGGAAATACTATCCTCATTCGGTGGATTTCAAGCTGAGGCTCAGAGAGATGAGGGGACGCACTTGTCATCTCACAGCTTCTGAGCAAGACGTGGAGCTCACACCCAGATGTTTCCAGCAGGTCACAAACCCTCTGAACGGGCTGCACTATGACCCCAATGTCACAATTGGAGATACAGCCCAGAATTGAACTGCACACTTTGAATATGTCAAAGTCACTGGCTTATTTCATCAAGTAGATGAGTATGTGTCACTGGTTACCAGTCCCCAAACAAGTGAAGACCACCCTCAGGAAGGGAGTTGGCAATGGAAATGATTCCCACTTCCCAGCTCCTAGAGTCCTAGGCCCCACGGGAGTCCCAGGGCCTACAGGGGAATTCTTCCCGTTGCCTTACCTCTGGACCACTCCACCATGCAGTCAGTCCTTGTTTGCTGAGACCTCCAACACAGGAGACCCCACCTGCATTGAACAACGTAGCCTACAGTTCCACTGATCTTGCTGTTAATCAGCTGTCACAATTCCAACCCTTCCTGCTGTGAGGTTCAAGGCTCCTGTCCCCAGGATCCTGGTCTAGTCACAGACATGACCTCAGAACCATGGAAATGGAGCCCAAACTCAGCCTATCCGGCCCCAACAGTGACAAGAATTTGTTCTCTGCCGTAACAAATCCCGTGCTTCCTGAACAGCCTCGCCCCTTCCACAAAACTCTGCATCCTTCCCACCCCTGTAACTTTCTCATTTACTCCCTGTATTTAATCCTGCGATAATTACATACACCACTGATTTTAAAAGAAGGGCAATTTTGCTCCCAGGGGACATTTGGCAATGTCTAGAGACAGTTTTGGTTGTCACAGCTGCAGGGGTGCTACTGGCACCTCATGGGTAGTGACCCAGGGATGCAAACATTGCCCCACACCACACGGCACAGGCCCCAGCCACAAAGGATGGGCCAGCCTCAGTGTCAGCTGTGCCACAGTTGAGAAAGCCTGACTGAGACCCAGGAGAAGTTTCTCCCATGTGTCCCCACCATTCTCCCTGTGTCCTCTGCTGTCACATCTGGTTGATCAGGGCATTCATTCCTCTGAGCCCCTTTCTGAACTCAGAATCCTCTCCACACAGGGCTCCCTGCAGCCTCACATGAGTGATGGGTGCTGAAATGCAAAATGAACTCCACCGGCCATCCTTACATTAGACACTTTTCCTGGTGGCCATGCTTACCAATTTACTTTGTAGAGTTTTTTTTTTTTTAAGAGTGTTTATGTATGTATATATGTATGTATTTGAGAGGCAGAGAGACTGACGAACAACCCACAACAAGCGAGGCTGGGCCAGGTCCAAGGCAGCAGCCACGAACTCAAACCAGGTCTCCCACATAGATGGCAGGGACTCAATCATTTGAGCCATCACCATTGCTTCCCAAGTGTGCACTAGCAGGAAGCTGGAATTGGGAGTGGAGCTGGGACTTTGCTGTGGGATGCTGCATATTAACTTCTCACCCCAAAAACATTTTTGAAGGAGCGACCTTATCTTCTATGCTCTTAAAGTCTCTGACAGCCCCAAGATAAAGATAAGAAATGCTGGATTGAAGGAAGGAGAGAGAGGGAAGGAGGGAGCCAGGGCTTGTTGGGAGGGTGGGGCAAAGAAGACTGAAGAAACAGGAAGGAGGAGAAAGGGAATAAAAGTGTAGAAGAAAAAAATGAAAGCAGGAAGAAATAAAGATCAAAACAAGGCACCACGGAGACGGACACCTGTGAGATCACTGGAGCAGCCCCTCTCTCTGAGGAGTCTATTTTATATTTTCCTAAGGAGGCTGGAAGGAGTCATCCTTGTGAACTTCTCTGCAGTCGAGAGACTGATCCTGTGCTATGAGACCTGGTCCCTTTGTTCTTGTAGACATTGCACTTGACCCAGGCTTACTGCAAAAAAATCCCCCTGTTTCTCCCAGTCCCTCCCCCAACCCCAAATACACAGCCTTCCTGCCAAGTGGTGAGGACAAGCTGTCATTTCATTGTCATCTTTCCCAAAGACCACACAGAGCAGCCCAAGGAAGCTAGATTCAAGGGCTCCCCAGCATTTGTCTGCTCTTGTCTTGGTGGGGACTGCAGATTGAGGCAGAGGCATCCCTCCTAGTTAACACCCTCCCAAGTGGCCAGCGAGGATGGCATTTAGCTAAATGAAATCCCAAGTAGTGCTTCTTGAGTCTTGATGGCTAAATTCTGAGTGTTTTTATAGCTTAAATCTTCAGAAAAGATTTGGCAGGCTGTTAAGATGACATGACTACATGCCTGTCTTGAACTTTTCCCTAATAAATGTGGAAATGTAAGCAAAAAATTCTCGTGTATACAAAGGGCACTCCTCAGAAAATAACAAGCTTGCTATTGAGTAATCAAAGTGATCAATTTGTTGGAAAAAATACTCTTTGAAGGCACGTATAATTTTTGGCACCAGGCATCTTGGGATTTTTTTCCCCACAGCGTTGCCAACTAAAAACTCAAGCACAGTTTGTGTTTCAGATGCTTCTATGCATCTCTACCAGCTGAACTCACCCCGTCTGAGGTACAAAACGTTTGTGCAGTGCAGCTCCCTGTGCTCAGCTCCCACAGTGGCCAGACTTGCAACCCCTTTCCACTGGTATGTTATTTTTTAATTTTTTTTTCTTGAATGTATTCCTATTCTCAGAGTCCATCTGTTAAGTCCTTTCATCAGTGGCATATTTGAGACCCCATGCCATGCAGAACTCCATGAAGGGACCATCTTTGTCCACTATAAAAATGAAGTGCTCTCCACTTCCTCTCTATGAAAGAGAAAGGTTGGATGAGACCCCAGTCCCTGGGGAGAGAAGACGTGGCAGCAGGAGACCTTCCACCTTCTCCACCTCCTCCTTTGGGTCCTTCCTCTATTCCTACCACCTTTTCTATAGGGTCGGCCAGAAGGACACACACAATTTCACTCCAGTGCAACTGGACAACAGGGCGTGGAGACGTTGTGGAAGTTAAAAAGGTTTAGCTGAAATGGACACTACACGTAAACCTGGTGTTTGTCATGTCATGGCATTTGCCAAGATTTCGGGAAAGAAGTCATAGGACCACCATTCACTTCGCCCTTGTCCCAGCAACTTCTCAGTAGCTTGCTTTGTGGTCCTTTAATGTTCAGGATCCTCACGGGCAGAGGCTCTGCCTCTACAACGACTGCGAAAGCAAAAGCATCGCGCGTCACCCTTGCCTCCTGCGGAGGAGACACCCATTCTCATGTTTGCCCCCAGCTCAGTAGCTCAGGGCTCTGCTAATCTTGCTGAACACTTCAGTTTTTAGATGGTATATCAATGAGGCATTCAAACAGAGCAGTTTATACACAAAAATTCTGTCTGCTTTGTAAAAGATTATCCTTTTATAAACACTCTGCAGAAAACATAAAAGCAAATAGGAGACAGCACATGGAACAGGAAAGATGTTAGCAGGGAGATTAATACTGAATGGGTCGAAATGAATGGCGCTCACTAAAACGAGGTCCAGATACTTTGGCTGCAGTGAAACATAAATAATGGGAATGACACACCGTTTATTCGGGATAATGAGTTGATCCAAAGTAGAGGGCTAGGACAAGAGATTAAAGATTAAATATCCATCTCCTGATGAATATCAGTAGCCAACTTTAACCTTTTCCTTCCAAAAGTACGATTTTGCTTGAGCAGTCACATGTGCTTATGCCACAGTACAGAAGTGGGATCCTTTAAAAGCACTAGCACATTGTTGCTTCCATCACTTTCTCATCCTGCTGGAAAACATTCTTCTGCATTTTAAGACAGGAAGCAGCATTTTATTTCTAGGCTATCAGCCTCTGGATACTGGTTTTAAGAAGCAGATTTTCCTTTTCATTATCCTGTAGTTGACAAATCTAGTTTAGGGACTCCTCTCACATCTCCCCATTCATTGCTTTAACAATAAAGTTTTTCAAAAGGAAAGAAAAAAGTGTGACTGGCACAACCCAATAATAGATGGATTTCATGTCAACAGTGAGGGCAGCAGAGCAACTACGTAAGACAGGCAAGAGATATCTTCCTGTCCAAACTCCCCATCTTCTCCACGAGGAAACTGAGGCCTGTGGCCAGGGCGTGTCCCTCCCAGACTCCAACTGCTAGTTAGAGCCAGGACTGGTACCCAGGGCCTCCTGGCTCCAGCGCCAACTCTTTCTATGACACCCCCTGCTGCCTCTTTATTCTCTCAAGTTGGAAATAATGACCAAAGCAGCTTGCTGGAAGAGCCAGTACCCCACATGCTAAATTAAAGCTCTGAATTCATGAAAAACTTCAACTGTTGGAACCTCTGAATAAATAGGGGTTGAAAACCAAAAAAGGAGGATGGGGTGGGGGGAGGTGGAGCAGCAGGAAAAATGTAGAAGAGGAGGATGCAAAAGGAGCAAACAGCAAACTCAGATGCCAGCGATGCCAAACTCCAGCCCCCTACCTTGGCATGATTTTGAAGCAGTCTGTATGTGCCTCTCTGCCCCCACCCCGCCGAAGGACCAAGAAAACTCAGGGCAAGAAGAAATTTTTGGTTTCCCCATTTTTGAGACCACAGGGCTACCCATTGTTTACAACCAAGAGCATGAGAATGTTTTTGTGGCTGGTAGACACCAGTGGAGTGGCAAAGCGACGAGACTCAAATGTGGCATTAAAAGCAAAAGCAAGAAACCAAAAGCAAAAATCCAGGCCACCAACTAGGCAGGAGCAGGAGACCATCACAGGTTAATTCCACAGCCACTCACCTACAGAGAGCAAGGTCAGGCTTTGGCTGGCATCCCATGTGATATCAGTTTGGTGGTTTCAGTCTATGCTCCAGGGAACATTTGTCTTGGTGCCAAAGTGACATGCACACACGGTTGGCAGGCTGTCCTCCAGAGGCCAGGGACAGGAGCTGTGGAAGTGTATCCATTTTCACTTTGCAAGTATTTGCATGCCAATGCCTCAGCTATTGCTGCTCTGGAGAGAAAGAGGGGAATTGATGCCGGAGAGCAAGGCTGTTTTCAGTCGCCTTAGCCCACATCCGGATGGTGGAGCTGGCAGCTCCATGCCCTCCATCCCAGTCCCCTTGGGTGAATACTCTGGAGTTTATCATAGTGTCACAGGTAAAAATAATCAAACCACTTCCTAGATAAGAAAACTGTTACTGGGGCCACCCACCAGGCCTTCTTAGCAAAAATAAATTTCTGTGATTACCATGTGTCTCACTGGTTTGCACTTAGATGGGACTGCACGTTAAGAGAAAAGGCAAGATAGTCATAAGGTGTACAACTACTGTTTTTGAAAAAGGAAGAATATGTTATGCAGAAAGCTTCAAAGTGGAGTTCCCATAGGGAGGCCAGCATTCACTAACGCCATTTTTTGAACAATGAACAGGCTCAGCACAAAGAACCCGGAAAGAAACACCAGCACCCCGTCACCTAAATTACGAGTACTTAAAGGGAGACCCACTGGTAAACCACACTGTAATGCTTTTCCTAAGAGATATGAAATAATCAGGTACCAGTAATCATGGAAATAAGAAGAGGATAGCTACGGGGGAAGGGGAAAGGCAGGTGATGGAAGGACTTGCCCCCGAAGCACCTTGGTTTCATTAAATTGCTTTCTGATGTTCAGCTCCAGTTAAGGTGATTGACAGCAGCAAGGAGTTTCAAACAATACGGCACCACACTAGGGATGATGTTACGCAGAGTCAGAAGGATAATGCAACATAGACCTTGGACCCACCTGCAAAGAATTTCCTGTTAAGTGCTCCGAGTACTTAAAAATGCAACCCACACTTTCCAGGTGTTACAGGTATTCCCTCATGGATGGAGCCTATTAGTAGATGTGACCATGAAAAGACCACGGCCTACAAAGTGAGGTATTTGCATCTTCAGCTCCCCAGAGATAATTTAATGATTTACAAAAACAAAGATGTCTGCCCTCAAATTAATCCTTGATGGCCAATGAGGTGAGTGGGGTTTGGGAATTTCCCTCAAACTGGCATTTAAAAGTGTTGATCTGCTAGCAAATAGCTACTGAGGTTTTATAGAAATTCCCTGAATTGGCTCTTTTCAGATGATGAAACCCACAATAAATTAGATGATCATTCTCCAAGTTCCCAAATGGTAAGTTTCCCTGGTTGTGAAACTGGATTTGTCTTGGGGCCAAAGCTGCTGATAACCATAGGGATCTTGATAGACTAAATTCCTATTTTCCTCCAAATACAGTCATTGAAAAAACTCAATATTTTCATAGATACATAAGAACAATGAGACAGAACATGTCTTTTTCTACGGTTTAAATAAGTAGTACATACTGGAGCATCTGGGGTTCAGGCAGGTTCTCTTAATTCTGGCTCTGCCTATGTGGTTAGTTTCTAGTTCAGATGGAAGTTAATTTTTATACAAATATACCTTAGATCAGAGTCTGTGGGCTTTCACTTACAATTCCAGAGCAGTCTATCTCTATGAGGACACTTCTAAGAATTCATGGAAAATTTGAATTAAGATAAATTTACTTTGGGGCAAAAATTTTTCAGATCTTTGCATAGCATATTCACAATACACATTTCTCATGGGTTTTTGGAGACACACAGTTGTAGATTTTAAAAAATTGCAGCAAAGTAAACTTACTTTTTTAAAAAAATTTATTTGACAGGTAGAGTTATAGACAGAGAGAGAGAGAGAAAGGTCTTCCTTCTGCTGGTTCACCCCCCAAATGGCCGCTATGGCTGGAGCTGTGCCGATCCAAAGCCAGGAGCCAGGTGATTCCTCCTGGTCTCCCATGCAGGTACAGGGGCCCAAGCACTTGGGCCATCCTCCACTGCCCTCCTGGGCCACAGCAGAGAGCTGGACTGGAAGAAGAGCAACTGGGACTAGAACCGGCACCCATATGGGATGCCAGTGCCATAGAAGGAGGATTAACCAAGTGAGCCACGGTGCAAGCCCTGTAAACTTATTTTTTAATTCTATTTTCCATAAACCTTTTGAAGTATCCCTGTATTTGCGTGAGCCTAGCTAAATTTGGTCTCCATTAACTTGGTAGCACAATACATTGTCCAGAATTTGAGTGACTCAGGCATCACATATCCAGGACTTCAGTGTCAGCTTTTTGGGGAAAAGGAGAATGGACTGAAAGAGATGGAGCCAAGAACTCCAAAGGAGGCAGATCACAAAACAGTTCCAAGTGGTTCATTCCGTGAGGCCTTCATTCAGACATCACTGACATCCAATAGGGCAGCAGAAGTCTCCAGTGACAATGCCCTGCCTGCCACTACAACTGTGCCCTAGCCCAGTTCTCAGCCCTGAATATGCCTTAGAGTCATGTTGCAAGCTTTTATAAAATACCCAAGCCCAGTCCTCACCCAAAGGTTGTGATTTAACTGGTTGGGGGTGGAATTGCATCTTACAAGCTGCTCTGGTGCGTGTAATGCAAGCCAGTGTAGCGTGCTTCCCTCAGGTCCTAATGCCAGGAACCTATAAATGGTGCCTTGAATGACAGCAGTGAATTTTGCAGAGGAGCTTGAGATTCAGAGTTTGTCCTGAATTATTTAGGTGGGCTCTAAAGGCAGTCACAAGTTTCCTTATAAAGGAAACATAGAAGAGATTTGACACCCAGAGAGGGGAAAGTGATATGAAGATGGAGCAGGTTGAAATCTGAAAATGCTTGCTTTAAAGACGGGACTGATGTGACCTTGAACATGCTAACGTTGTATTTATGATTTTAAAATATTTCGGGGTAATAGCAACATCAATAATTTCTCATTGTGAAAACTTTTTTCCAGAACAAATTCTGTTGATTTGGCATATCTTTGGTTTTTAGCAGATTTACCAAGCTGAGCCAGTGTTTGCAGATCCTTGATTTCTTTCCTGTGTTTTCTGGAAAGTGGTTGACAATTTACCTCTTCAAATACTGGGGCCTCTTCCTTGTCTTTCTCCTGCTTTTTGGGGATTCCAATTATACATACATTAGAACATTTACTATGTATTATACATACATTAGAACATTTACTATGTCCCCTCTAACTCTTTTTTTTCTGTTCGGTCCTTTAAATTTTCGTTTGCTTTCTAATTCCATTTGACTATTTTCTTTGAGCTCATCTTTGAGTTTATTAACCCAATCTTCTGCAATATACAACCAAACCTCATGTTAAATCTTTATACTGTATGCTTAATATCACATATAATATTCTAGGTTATATAATGTTTGATTGGTTCTTTTACAGATTCAAATGCTTAGTTGACTTTCATATTTTCATCTCTTTCATATATCTTTCCTTCTATTTTATTTAACATTTATGTTGATTATTTTATTTACTTTTTAATGTCACTCTGTAAAAAATTATTGATAGATGGCGGGGAGAGACATAGATATATGATAGATAGATAGATAGATAGATAGATAGATAGATAGATAGATAGATTCCATCTACTGGTTAACTCCCTAAATGCCCACAATAGCCAGATCTGGGATGAGCCAAAGCCAGGAACTGTAAATTCAATTCAGGTCTCCCATATAGGTGGCAGGAATCCACTTATTTAAGCCATCACTAGTCTGGAGTCAGCAACCAGGGCAGAGTATCAAACCCAGGTAGTTTGACACGAGACACAGATGTCTTCACCAGAGTCTTCACTACTGGGCTAAATGCCTTCCCATATAGTAGTTATTTTATAGCCTTTGAGCCAACTACAACAACTGGATCATCCATGGATTTGCTTCTATTGGTTGTTTCCTTTCTTGATTTTTTAGTCGTGTTTCTCTGCTTCTTCACATGTCTCATGAAATTGTATGGTAGACATTATATGTAAAAGAATCTTAGAAGCTGAAATCTGTGTCATTTCCCCGAATGGGTTTGTGCTTTCCTCTGAAAAGCAGATAGGACAGGGACAAGCTAATCACCTCAGCCGAATCAGAAATTGCACCAGCTTGGGGCTAGGCTGCAGCTTCAGTTAGCTTAGACCACCTCTGGTTTCAAGTACCTCAGTGACAGTGTGTGTGTGCCGTAGGCACTGCCATCTTGCAGGTTTTCCAAGGACTTTGACACAGTGAGCCACCCCATGCTGCTTTTCCAGCACTGTCTCCCAGTCTCTTAGCAGCTTCCTCCTGGCTCCAAAACTTAGCAAATGTCCTTTGCAAAAACTGATTAAGGCACGAGGAGCTCTAGACCCTGGCTTCTCAACTTCCTCAGAAGGTCTCTCCTTCCTTAGGTAGTGTTGCTCTTCCTAGGACAACCCTGACTGGTCCTCAGTCTTTGACCATACTTACAATCACCCCCAGCAAAGAAACTGGATGGATTTCAGGGTACCTGGGAAGGGAAGTTTCCTCTGGAATTTGCATCTTATGCTATTTGCTTTCTCTTTTTCAATGTTTTTAAAAATATGTTTTTTATAAATTATTCCATTTTTCCAGCTACTATAGCAGACCTGTCACAATCTACTAATAAAAAACAGATTAGATTTTTATAAGTTAATTCCATAAATAATTTTTATATAGAATAGTCAAAATTTTCCCAGGGATTTTCTACTTCATTGTTTCTTGACTGACAAAATTCTCATCCGGCTAAATTTTTCCACGTAAATTTACAGCCAAAGATTTAATTTATTAAACAGCATTTCTCACAATATGAATTTTCATCATTCATAACTTCTGTCATTGTGAGCTTTTCTTTGTGGCCAGGTTGAATTTTCCCCATTCAAATTTTGCACATCTATACTTAGTCATTCTTCAGAAGCATTTTAGCCACTAATGTATTTTATCATGTACAGTTTTAAATTGTAATTTTATTTGGCATTTGTTTTACCAGTAATATCCAATATAAACTCAATAAATGATGATCTCCACCAAGTGTCCTTGAATGTCTACAAAAATGCTATGCAATTCTTCCCCAGGAAATCTAGATCTTTTAACTCTCTATTGGCCTATTCAGTGTCAATTATGAATTGGTCTGTTGCACATCTTACAACTTTCTCTCATAAATCTCTAATCTATATAGTAATAATCTTCAGTGTTGGCAGTGCAAAGAGCAAAATGATGAAACTGAAGTGGTTGGCTTAGAGTGGCAAGATCAACAAGCCTTGCATCATGACTGGAACACAAAGACCTTGGTGACAGCACAGCCCTAAGGACAGCTCGTCTCAGCTGCAATGTGCTTGCTTCTCTCTAAGTCTCCTTTCTCTAGAAAAAGCTTTCTCTGATTAGTCATGGTTGTCCTACTCAAAAGCTCACATCTCTGAGTCCAGTATGCCTATCCGAGCTCCTCTTCCTGTGTCAGGACTTGTCAGCTTCAATTTCTGCCATGAATTTCCCTTTTTAAAAAGAGATTTATTTATTTATTTGAAAGGCAGAGCAAAAGATAGAGAGAGGAAGGAGGGAAAGAGGAGAGGAGAGAGAGCAAGACTTTCCACCACTGGTTCACTCCCCAAATAGCCACAACAGCTAGATCTCAGCTAGGTCTGGACCAGGCTGAAACCATGAGGCAGGAACCCCAACCAGGTGGGTGGCAGGAGTCCAGGTAATTGGGCCATCTTCTGCTGCTTTCCCAGGCATGTTAGCAAGGAGCTGGATTGGAAATGGAGCAGCCTGGACTTGAACCAGCATTCTGATATGGAATGCCAGCAGTGAGAGCCCAGCTTAAGCTGCTGCACCAAAACACTGGCCCATCTTTTTTGATATTATGTTTGCATTCAAATTCCCCCAGAGGAGTATGACTAACTTAACAAAATTGGAAGGATACAAGGGCCCTAATTCAGGGAATTTTGTTTGGCAATCTCTCCAACCATGTGTTTCTCAAAGTATGATCCACTGTTCACCTATAAATCTGAGGATCACATCTTTCTGTATCCCATGGCCCCAGGCCTTTGCCTTGACTATCCTTACCCCAGGCACAAGAGAAACAAGGCGAGAGGCTACCAGCGCTTCCTGCAGTCTTTTTCCTACCCTATGCCATGGGAAAGCATCCTGGCATAGCTAAAAACTCCCACATCAGACCAGTCAAATCCCAATTCCATTGCGCCTACAACTGATCCTGAGGGAGATCCTAAATTCTCTGAATCTTGTTTCCCTATTTTTTAAATGAGAGTATTGTATCTACATCATAGGGGAGAAATGGCATAGATAAAGAATGTGG